AACACCAAGGTTTTAGTTTAGAAAAAACAACTCACATATTATAACATCTTTTGTCTTAAGAGAAAAACACAGTAACACACATGCCATAGGTAGCCACCACTGCCCTAACCTTCAGGTTAGAAAGAACAGAGTGAGGAGATGAGCGCCCTGTCACTTTGAGGCTGAGATTCAGAGACAACAGAGAGATGGGAAAAGAGATACATCTGTCATGTCTTCCAAACCGAGCTGAGGACATCTGTAGCTATTGCCACCATCTCACTGTAGCACAACGGGAAAAACAGATGTAAAAATAGAAGTGATATATTCAACTATTAACAGTGAGCAGAACTGAATACAGCAGGCTGCAGCAGCACTGACGTAGAATGGGAAACGGCTTCCTCTAGGGCTGGCTGTCGGACTCAAGTGGACAAAGTGCCAACTAACTAATGAGATTTCCTCCACCGGGTCATCCCTGATGTATTAATAAGGGATTAGGAGGAGGAGACAAGTGAGAAGGTTACAAACGGATGGAGAGCAAGTAATACCCTCCTGACAAATGTGAAGGAAATGCCTCCCTGGGAGTGCCTCATCCTACATGTGAATTAGCTCTTTAGTAAACTTCTGAACAGGCAAGCCTTTTAGTAATGAGAGTGCTGGATGAGAGGACAAAGAGCACTAAGATGAGGCAGACTGCAGAGCCAGAAAATAATTACCTTGGTTTTTCCTGCCAGTTTTACCTCTACTCTGTCGGGTATGCTGACAGCCCATTTGGTAGGTTTGCACTGAAGTTCAGTGGAGGAACTTTTGGTGGTTGTTTGAGCTTATTTTTTTTTAAGAGTGAGATATAATTCATATATAAAATTCACTCTTTAAAGCTATGCACGTCAGTGGTTTTTAGCATATTCACAGGTGTTTCAACTATTACCACTACACCAGAACATTTTCATTAACCCCCAAGAAGAATCTCATACCCATTAGTAGTTATCCTTAATCCTCCTGTGTTATCAGTTTATTTTCTTCCTCCATGGATTTATCTTTTCTGGATGTTTCAGAGAAATGGAATCACACAATACACTGCCTTTTATGCCTGTTTTGTTTTTTTAACTTAGTATGTTTTCAAGGTTCATCATGTCATAGCATGAATCAGTAATTTATTCCTTTAAAAATAATTTATAGTTTAATAAAAACCATTTTAAAGTGTGTAACAGTGCCATTTGGTATAGTACTCACAATGCTGTATAGCTTCTGTCAAAACATCCTATTACTACAAAGCAAAAATCCTTATCTCTAAGGCAAAACTCCTTACCTATTTCCCCATTCCTCCTCCCCCAGCCCTTGGCAACCACCAATCTATGTTCTGTGTCTAGGGATTTATCTATTCTGGATATTTGGTATCTGAATTCTTTTACTTAGTATAATGCTTTGAAGGTTTATTCATGTCATGGCATGTCTCAGTATTCCTTTTAATGGCTGTATAAAATTCTATCATACAGATATAAGTACCACAATTTATCCATTCATCTGCTGATAAACTCTGGGTTGTTCCCAATTTTTTGCCATTATGAATAGTGTGGCTATGAATATTTGTGTACAAGTTTTTCTGGTTTTTTTTTGGTATCAGGGATTGAACTTGGGACCTTGTGCTTGTGAGGCAGGCGGCAGAACCAGTGAGCTAAATCCCTAGCCCCTGCGTACAAGTTTTTGTGTAGACATGTTTTCATTTCTTTTGGGCATATGCCTGTTAAGTGCAGTTGTTGGGTCCTATGGTAACTCTATATTTAACTTTTTGAGGCCGTTCCAGATCATTTTCCAAAGTGACTGAACATCTTACATTTCCACTGGCACTGTAAAAGAGTTCCAACTTTTCCATATCCTAGATAACACTTATTTTTTATTTTTTTTGGTACCAGGGATCAAACTCAGGACCTTGCGCTTGCGAGGCAGGTGATGGAACCACTGAGCTAAATCCCCGGCCCGATAACACTTATTTTTTATTATGGCTATCCTGGGATTGTGAAGTGGTCTCTTGTGTTATTTAGTTTGTTTTGAAATCAAAGTCATTCATACACATAGTTTGAAAAGATAAGGCTTAGAGTATAAAAGCTCCATTCTTCTCCATTTCCATTACCATGAGGGAAATACTTTAAATTCTTTTAGTGGTTTCTCTGATATTTATACTTCTGGTAATGTGCTTATAATATTATTTTCAAACCCATTTTAGATAACTTCTCTTTACCTCCAACTATAGAAGACGAGCATTTTGCTTCAGTGCACACAAATACACACATTCACCTTATCCTTTCATCTTCACAATATGATTAATAATCTCCATTTTTAGTAAATCACTAATTGGCATTTACATTATTATGCCTATGCATGCATAGCCTTGTGATGTACAAAGATTCTACTTATTTAATCATACTTTTTTCCTCTTAGATTCTAGATGACCTAGGGCTGAAACCTGTTTCATGTTTTCTTTTCCCTCAGTTTTCTACATACCAATTACTAATTCCTCTTCAAATTCTGCAAGGAAACTAAAAATCTTTGGACATATTAAAATACACTGGTTATTCTATTTCTTTTTTCTTTCTTTTTTTTTGGGGGGGGGCATGTGATCAGATGAGATTGGGTGCATTCAGGGTGGGATGGCCATAGACGCTGGGGCATGTGATCAGAACTCAGTATTTGTTGAATGAACGAATGAATGGAAATACGAAGCTATAGGACTAAAGATCTCTACAGTCAAAAGGTAAATTAGGCACTACTTCCTCTCCACCTCAGTTACTTCTAGGTCACAATGTTAATGTTATGGACGCATTTTTTTTTTTGTACCAGGGACTGAACTTGGGACCTTGCGCTTGTGAGGCAGGCGCTGGAACCACTGAGCTAAATCCCCGGCCCATGGATGCATTTTTGAGGGGAGGAAAGTAAGGCCCTGAGAAGTTACCTGACTTCCCACAGTGATGGCAAATGTTCAGGAGAAGCAGGGCTGGAACTCTAGTCTGGTGGTCTTCGAGCCCATCAGAAAAAAGAGCATTTATCCTGAAGGGGATGTGGATTTTGGATCTTTATCTTTCAAACCTATTCAATATTCTAAAACCTAAAAAATAACATGTGCTAAGAATCCAAATGAAAGGGCAAAAATAGCATCACCAAAATGCAAAAGCCCTCTCAGTGCATACTGATGTATTTCATAGTTGCAGACCTGTAACTGGTCAGGGTCTGAGAAACCCAGTCTTTCCTATCTGAGGATCACGACTCTAATTTGGATCTGAACTCATCTAAGGCCAGTCTCTTTCTAACATAGTCCTGTGGCCCAAGCAGTGCACTTGTGGAGGACCATTCTGTGATAAACATGATTTGCTTCCTCGGTCTGATCAGCATCTACTCCCCATCCTCTGATAAGAGCTCTCTGATTTTTTTTAACACCAGGGATAGGACATGACTTGGGTCACGGTGGACATGGAGCTGCCAAGGATCACACTTGAGACCTGCGTGAGCTCAAGGCTCACCACAAGGAAGGCAGAGCTGACAGGGAAAGTGGGTGAAACCCCCAATGTCATGGTTTAGTTTCTGCGTCCTGCCGTACCTGCCAACTTCCCAACTGTGTGCATCAAATGACCCCATTTGAGTTGTGCTTCTGCCGCTTACAACCAATACGACTGGTGACTAGACGTGTCTGAGAGGAGTGGCCGAGCCACTTCTGTGTGTCCATGAAGGGTTGCCATCTTTTCAGCTCAGCAAGATAAATGCTCATCACTTTAATTTAGGACACAGGTTGTCTTGGTCTAACGGAAGATTAAACTACTAGAGAACCTCTCAAATTCAGGTTCCTGATCTTCTTGATAAAACAAAGAAACCCTAATGGTTTCAGAAATGACTAAATATGAAGACAATTATAAGACTAAGCATGATTTATTGAATTCTCCATACAGCACATTTTGAAAGGCAACCAGGCACTGAGTTTATGTTGTGTAAGTATTTATTGTACTTACATATCTTCAAAGTATATTTATATTCATAACTTCATCTGATTCCCCCTGAGACTTTTTTTGGACTTCTTTTTTGATAAATGATCCACATTTTAAAGTTGTTTCTCAGCATAAAAACAAACCAGGATATATTTTATAAATAATCAGTTCTTTACACATAAAAATCTTAAAACTTTTCTTCTTCCTTAACTCTAGTTTCTTGTCCCTGAAGTTTACTTACTTTTCTAGTTAGCTTTTCTGAATTCTACCACTAAACAAGTAAGTTTTATTTCCCAGGTTGTAAGGGAACCATGAACCTTGTTTTCAAACTTGTTTCCTCTTCATTCCTACTTTGTAGCCATGACTTGTTCATCTAGTACATCTGTCCTAATACAGACACACACACACACACACACACACACACACACACACACACACACACACACGTCTAATTTGTGGACAACACAAGCTTAGTTTTGAACCCCAGCCCTGTTACTTATGGTTACTGATTCTAAGCAAGCTTCCTCTTCAGTAAAATGAGGACAGTAACAGTACCTGGCTTATATAATTGTACAGCTTAAATGACATGCATGCAGAAGAGATAGCAAGCATGTGGTAAATGGGAGCTGCTATTATTTGTTGCCTAAAAGAGCAATCTCTCCTAAGCAAGGTTCCTGGCCAATCATTCCACACGAGAGCCTTGTAAGACATGGCTGCTTACTGTTTCGAAACTAAGCTCCAGGGTCACAGAGATTCTGCCTGGTTCATTACTATATCCCCAGCACCTAGCATGTGACCGGCACATAATAGGGACTGAATGAAAAGTGTAATTTTACTGCCATTCTGATTTTATGGACGAGGAAACTGAGGTTCAGAGAGGCTCAGTGACTGAGTTTGAGAGGGATTAAGACAGTGCTCTTGCTGGATGTTCCTCTCTACCATATCACTTCCTAGGCCTTTATCTCATTATGCAAAACTCAAGCAAAGTAGCTTACTCATTAAATAAAGACTCTGAAGGGCCAAGAAGGATTGTTAAAGTTTAAAACCTACCGTGGTGTCCACAGCCTTGACTTTCTCTGTGGGAATGTGCTTTGGAGCAGGCTCTGTCTGTGACGCCGTCACACAGCCGTCAGCTCCCAAGGTGATGATTACGACCTGGCAGCCCCTCGCCAGCAGCACTAGGGTGGCTTCCCCAGCTTCTGCCCGGCTGCTCACTGTGAGGCCGGTTAAGATTTCAGCCTTGAATACACAGAGGAAAAGGAAACTGGTGAAAACAATGGAAATCCACTTCCAGAATTGCTTTTCTAGAAAATGTGTCTCCCTCCTTTTTTATAACCACCAATGTGACAGAAACTTTGATGGATACTGTACTGGTGCAGGAAAATAAAAAAGAATAACAAAAAACCACTAGCTATAAAAGACATTCTTGGAACAAACAGGTGAATTTGAATATGGCCCAGATATCTCATATGACAGTATAAAATGACTGTATTTCCTAAGTGTGATAATGGCATTATGTATATTCCCTCTTAGAAGACACACACTCAAGAATTTAGGGTATGTGTTATGGCTTGAGTCTAGATGTCCCCCCAAAGCTTCATGGGGTCATAGGTGGGGCTTTTCCAGAGGTGGCTGAATCTAGAGAATGTGATGCTGGGATTAAGGGTGTGTGATTACCAAATGAGTCCCCTGATTGGTTTGGCATGTCCTGAATAGGATTAAGGGTGTTCCACCCTGGGTGTGAGTGCTACCTGCCCATGAGGGGATAAAATATAAGGGACAGAAAGAGGGTGGTTGCTTCTTGCCTTCTGCCTTCCAAAGATTACATGTAAATAGCAAAGTTAGCCTATATACTTTTCATGTTCTTTTTCTTTCTTTCTTTTTGCAATACTAGGGATCAAACTCAGGACCTTGTACTTGCGCGGCACCACTGAGCTAAATCCCTAGCCCTTCATGTCCTTTTTCAATCCCAGAAAACATCTTGCAGTTTTCCCAATATAATATACTACTCTCCAGCCCCTCCTTTCTCTCCATCTTTCGCTTCATTAAACTTACTACAGCCTTTCAAGCTATCCTTCTCTAAATTCTCCTTTAATATTTCAAAAATATTTTTCTTTCTGCCTTGCTTTCTCAGTGACTTTCCCCACCTGGAGGTGAATGGATCAAGTCTCTTTCAGTGTGCTACTTTATTCTAATCTAATGTTTATTTTTCTAATGAATGATTAAAACAAATTTTAATGACAATTTTCATTTTCAATGGGTTCTAATGGATTGTTTTTCATCTTCTTATACTGTGGCTTTGTTCTGCTTTTCTTTCAGTTTTTTCTTTTAAAGTGAATATTAATCATTCTAATGTTAAAGTCTTTTTTGCATTGTTTTGTTTTATTATTAGTTTCCTCTTGGTTGCAGTCATCTTTTTTTTTTTTTTTCTTTTGGTATGGGGATCAAACTTGGGACCTTGGACTTGCGAGGCAGGCGGCAGAACCACTGAGCTAAATCCTCAGCCCTAGTTGCATTCATCTTTAGACCAACTGTTGGCTAAGTTCTACAGCATTCAGTTACTGCGGACCCCTGAAATGTTACTGGAAACCTCTGCAGTAGGCTCCAGTCTCCTGCCCAGTGTACAGCACAGGCCTGAGGAGAAAAAACCCTAAACAACAGAACTAAGAGAGAGAAAATGGGGCACAAGATGGCCAATGCCAGTGCAACCAACAAAGGCGCTGGCCAGTCCATGCCACTGATTTTTATTGGTAATCAACTGGGATAAAGGTGAGCTACATACAAGGATAGAACTATGTGCATGATGATACGCAGTCATGTGGTTTTTATGAAAATTAATGTAAGCAAGGCTCATAAAAGACAAGACAAAGCATTCTTGAATTAGGAACAAAATAGAGAAAATATATAGTTGTAATTAGAACACTGTCCTTCTCGTTAGAAGGCTTTAGTTGTGGGAATGGAATTTGGGTGCGAGTTACTCTGACCTCAGGACTTAGGGTTCGGGGCGGGGGGACTCGGTTCTCAAAACAAGCCAACTGTGGGGTTAACTCTTCACAGCCTGCACTGCTTACAGCCTGCTTTGGGCATAATCAATACTGCGGTCTCCCACATTTGGCTACTTTGTCTGCAGACTCGCTGTCTGGCTATGAGTTGTGCACACATCATCTCCCATCTGGCCTTCCCTGACTTTCTAGTGGTTTCAGAGTTCGATTTACTAGGACCCGGAGAGTCTCTCACCTGGAGACAGGTAGCCTATTGACCATAGGGAGTTCCTGCCAATGTACTGAGCCAGTGCTTGGCTTGGTTTCCCTCCTGGTGAGAGGCAGTGTCTCTGTCCTTCTATCTCCTCAGGTTGGGAGCCTTAAAAATACTGTAGCCCTGGCTGGGGATTTAGCTCAGTGGTTCTGAGTTCGATCCCCGGTACCAAAATAATAAATACTGTAGCCTCAGGCAGAGGGGTAGCAGATTCTTCCACCTTTCACTATTAGCAGATGAGCAGAGCCCCACATGCATGTTTTCTAGTCATGGACACTGCTGCTCTCTCACGAGCAGCACACTTTTAGTGCCAGTTACCCACAGGATGTGAGCTTTCTACCACTCTTGCCGGTTCTGCACCTGGTGTACAGCACATCAAAAGCTGGAACGCTCCATGAAGCTGTTACATTACTTCTGTGTGTGTGCGGTTTCAGATCGGGCTTCGCTATGTAGTTCAAGCTGGCCTTCAACTCACTATGCAGCCAAAACTGGCCTCGAATTGCAGTGATCTTCCTGCTTTGGCCTCCCGAGTGCTAGGATTACAGGTGTGCACCCCCATGCCTGGCTTAATTGCTATACTTTTGATCTGTGGAGTTACATCCGATTTTTGAGCTTATATCTTTTCACTGTTTCTTTTTTATATTTGTATATCAGTGTATCAGTGGTTTGGTTAAAGCAGAGGGAGGTTTCTTTTTGTTTTTTTCTTTTGTGGTACTAGAGATCAAATCCAGGGGCCACAGAGCTACATCTCCAGCCACTGCTCCCTCTCCATTTAAAAAATTTTTATAGAAAAGATCTCAGTAAATCGTATAGCTGGTCTTGAACTTGCAATCCTCCTGACTCATCCTCTTCAGTAGCTAAGATTACAGCTGTGCACCGCTATACCAGCTCAGAGTGTCTTAAGCATGAATTTACATTAACGTAAATTGTTTGAATCCATCCATAAGAACACTGAAATGTTTTAATTTTTTTGTTTTAAATATTTGAGACCAATTTCCTAGAGGTCAGAGTTCGTTCATTGAATAAGTATTTGCTAGGTGCCAACTTTGTGCTGGTACACGTGGCAGGTGTCATTTTCCAAAGATAACTGTATTAATATATATCACTGTACCTGCTATTTTACAGAGTTATAGTTTAGATTTAAAACATTCCCCCAAATCTCATGTGTTCAGAGGTGTGCTTTTGGAAGGTAACTGGACCTTGGGGGTGCTGCACTCATCAGTGAATTAAGCCATTGATAGTTCAAGGCTGAATGTGTTCTTAGGAGGGGGCCCTGCTTGGGGGTGAGTCACTTTGGGTGTGACCCAGAAGAGTATGTTCTTGTCCTTGGCTCCACCCTTTCCTCTCTGCTTCCTGGCTGCCATTAACTAACCATGTTTGGGCCGGGGATTTAGCTCAGTGGTTTTGCCGCCTACTGCGCAAGCGCAAGGATCCAAGTTCGATCCCCGGCATAAAAAAAAACAAAAAAACAAAAACACAACTAAGCATGTTCACTCTGCCATGCCCTTGTGCCATGATGTTCCTGCCTTAGAGCCTGGAAACCATAGACTGAATCCTCTGAATCGTGAGCTAAATTAAAACTTCTCCTCCTTTGTGGGTGTTGGGAATTGTCTCTCAGCAATGGCAAAACCTAATACATTATGACAATATAATGTTTTATTAAATGGTAGGGTTCCTCCTTTAACCAAAAGAATGGGGTAGAAGGGATGATGTGTTGTGACTTTTAAAGCTAAATCATAAAAGCCAACATGGTTTCTACCTAAAGCTCCACTCCCCCATGCTGGATCCTGGAACCTGGCTACCCTGTTGTGAGGAATCCCAGGCCACAAGGAGAGGCCATACGTTAAGTGTTGTGGCCTATGACTCCACTATGCCCCAGATGACAGCCAGCACCACCTAGTGAGCATGTGCATGAAGAAGATGTCAGATGATTCCATCCCTCAGCTTTAAGTCTTCCCGCTGAGGATCTAGGCATGGTAGAGCAGATAGACAGGCCACATTGTAATGTGTCTGAATTCCCGACTTATAGAAACTGGGAACAATAACTATTAATGTTAAATAAGCCACTAAATTTTGTGGTAATTTATTATGCAGCAAGAGAGCTATATACACAGGGATGGCTGCTAGGACTACAATAGTAAGACAGATGTCCTGACCCCATCGAACTTGTAATTTAATGCAGAAGATAGAAGTACTGAATATATAATTTGGGCCATGACGAATGTCTGAAGAATAAATAGACTGCCTTTTAAATGTCTAGCAGGGAAATCTGAGTGGTTGTCGGTTGAAAGTAATCTAACCTCTTATTGTGAAATGGTCACTATCTTCCACAATTCCTTTTTCCTAGCCCAGTGCCTGGCCACGGTGGTTGCTCAGAAATATTGCATAAACTACTGTGGCTTGTTAAAATTAGCTTCCATGTGCCAGTCTTCTTTCTTGCATCCTGTATGTTCTATCAAGAAACAGGTCAAGAAATCCTAGAAACTGTCACTTGGGCTTCAAACCAAGTGGAAAATTAATAGTTCATCAACTACTGTTCCTCTGTGTGTTTCCTTTGACGATGTGTGTTCACAGCCTGCGTCCAGACAATGGGAGAGAGCTCTAGTTTAATGCTGTCTGGCCTAAAAAGAGGGAAAAATACTACAATTTTCTTCCTAAAAATACTCAATGAAGAGCAACTGATAGACATTTTGTACAGATATATACATTATGAACCCCACAATTTCTCTCCTAATGCAGAGGCCCCTAAAGCCCTTTCTATGTTAGCAACGGAGGAACCTGTGACTGTCCATTGATGATGCAACCAAATGTCACAATATGTGCCCAAATAATGGAAGGCAGCAAACATTTCAGGGGTGGTGTACTCAGTAGAGCTGATCTAACAGCTTCTAGATAAAATATCAGAAGCTCAGTTAAATCCGAATTTCAGAAAACAACAAATAATTTTGGAATATTTAAGTATGTCTAGTAAATTATTCATTGACTATCTGAAATTCAAATTTCACTGGGCATTTGCACATTTATTTGCTAAACTTGGCAACTCTAATACTAAGTGGACTATAGAATATAGAATCATTAGAAAGGAAAATAAAATACTAATAATGTGAGGGCAGGGAAGGGGCTAAAACTGAGGTTTGGTAAGTGCCACATTATGGAGGTGGCTCAGTGAATTCTTCACCCCAGTCCTAGGATTTACTAATTTCCTTCTCTCCATACCCCAGTAAAGTGAAAAAACCTGTTTTCAACTGTGTCTAAGAATTCTCTTGTGACCAAACTGATGTGGTTAATCCTGCCTTTCTGCTTTGTCCACTTGTGTGAAAGTCTTCTGGTTGCTCACAGAATAAGCAAAGCAATTCATCCTTACCTCGCTTTCATTGCAGCAGAACACGTCTGAGAGGGTATAGAATTGGGGATCCAGGTCAGCAATGGCAGGAGCTGGATTGAACAATGTTCTTACTACAAAGGAAAAGGAAGGGGGTTCAACAGTTACCAAGTTTAACATGATGCATTTACAGACATTTAGTAGGAAAAATCCCCAACTATAGTTATTTTTTAGTACCATTTCGTTCTTTTTTCTGTTTCCTTGATGTTTCACTGTGCAGCATTTCAGCTTTGAAGGTAAGCATCAATATTTACAACCAAGGTGATTCCAGAGTTAAGTGAGGGGTAAGCAGAACATTAAAGTAAAATGTTGTGTAATGGGCTGGGGATTTAGCTCAATGGTGCTGCCGCCTGCCTCGCAAGCGCAAGGTCCCGAGTTCGATCCCTGGTACCAACAAAAAAAAAACGTTGTGACATGGAAGAACCTGTATGAATGAGAACAGGCTAGTCAACATTTCCGTGGGTTGCTTTAAGTGCTTTGTTGTAAGGCCAGTTCATAAATTCATTTTCCAGGGGAGAAAAAAGAGATGACAGAAAAGAAACAACAGAGTTCAACATTTCCCTGGTAAAAACAGTATGTAGGAAATTCAGGTGCATATGTGTATTTTGTATACCCATGTCTCCCAGTTACATTGCAATCATGCATGCCAACACACACACACACACACACACACACACACACACACACACACAAGCTGACATTCTTGGGCAATCTGGAAACTTAACAAAAAAAAATTGAGAAATGCTGGGCAGTGAGAGGCTGAGTACCAGCTTTGACTATGAGCCTCCAAGAGAAGGATGAACAGGGATAGAAGGGATAGGGAAGGAAGAGTGTGACAGCCACTACATGCCAGAGAAGTGAATTTCTCAGAGGAGAAAAGTGAGGTTCAGAGAGAAGTCATATTTTGAAGGCCCTTCCCTGGGACGTGGTTAGGCTGAACTCCTCCCCAGGGTCCTCTGGCTATAAGTTCAGGGTTTGACCTTCCTGAAACAGAACTCTTTCTTCTCTATGCCAGGACTCTGTCAACAGCAACCATGCCCTCAATCCTGAAATTCAGTGTCTTTTAAAACAGTTTGGTGCCAAACTCTGTAAGCGATTTTACAGATCTCAGCAATTACATTTGTAGGAAGCTCACTCTTTGTCACAACCCTTATTCAGCAGAGTGCTGGACTAGACTGGCTAGTGTTTTTATCATCGGGGGTCCGCTGACCTACCTGTTATGGAGTTCTACCTGACTACAGAGCCACAGAGTAAAATCCTCAACTGCAGTTCCCAGAGACTCCTGTAGAACAGTGGTTCACAAACCTAGTCACACATCAGTGTCACTAGGAGAATGTGTTCAAACGTGGATTTCCAGACTTCACGTCAAACTCACTGACGCAGAACCTCTGGGGGGTTAGTCAGGGGTCTGCACACTCACAAGTTCTCCAGGTGGCTCTCACACAGGCAGCTTGGCAGCGATCCTCTCTGCATTCCTGGGGAGAAGCCCATCAGCACGCGCTGATGGAAGCAGCCCACTGCTGCAGCCTGGTGAGGCTGTCTGGCCTCTCTGGACCTTCCTAGGTCTTCCTTAACATTCTGGTTCAGTCAGTGGTCTTGTCCAGTATGGCTAACACTAGTTCCACATTATTATTTTAGAATCCACAATGTCCACCCACAGATATTCTGGGGTGTATTTTTAGCTGCTCAGATTTCTGTACAGGACTCTTGTGCAGCTTAAATTAGAAAATGGACATAAAAGCGCTGTGTAAACTGTAAAGTGTTGTACAAAAGTAGAGGATTATTACTGTTATTATATTGTCCTTTACACCCCCGCCTGTCCACCCATCTCTTTCGCCTTTTGCTGCTGTAGCCCAGCGAAAATCTCTTTCACTGGTTCTCCCACTTGCGCAAGGCCTTAGTGATGCCGGTTTTGCAGAACAGTCCCCACTGCCCAGCATTCTAACTCCTCCACTTACTTCTGAGCTCTTCTGAGCAATATATCGTTTCCTGTTTTCCACAAGCATTAAATCTAAACACTCTTGCTCACCCAGTGTGGTTGAGTGTGTACTCGTCAGGGTCAGAGCACTGCTTAGAACAGCTACCAGTGCAGAGAGGAGGGTGCAGTCACTCTCACAGAAGTTCCTTTTGTTTTCAAAAGATCTCCAATCTAGCAATTTCTTTCTTTCTTTCTTTTTCTTTTTTTTTTTTGGTACCGGGATCGAACTCAGGTCCTTGCACTTGCACAGCAGGTGGCGAAACCACTGAGCTAAATCCCCAGCCCTAGCAATTTCTTTTCTAAACCTATTGTACAGAAATCCACAGGCTTGCAAAGATGATACACAGTGATGTTCACATGGCTGTTTGTAATGGAAAAGAAAATCTACACATCTATCAAAGTGGTTAAAAAAGTTACGATATCCACCCAATACAATATTCTGCAGTTGCTAAAAAGGATGAAGTAGCTCTCTGCTTTGCAGAGGAAGATTTCTATAATTTATTAGAAGTGAAAAAGGCAGCTGTGAAAGATGATGAGAGGAAACCTGATTATAGATTAAGTGCTGTAGATCATGAAAAGACAACATTGTTTAAACCTATACAGTATCTTCCACTAAAAACTGGCCCACACTTACAAACTCAGCACTCAGGAGGCTGAGGCAGGAGTACTGCCAGTTTGAGGCCAGCCAGGTCTACATAGCAAGTCCCTGTCTCAACAAACAAACAAAACCCAAAACAGGCCCCCTAGGAATGAAATGATGTAATATCCAGGTTTTGCAGTGGATGGTGGGTGGGTGGTAACGAGCTGCGGTGCAGAAGAAATAACACTGGCCATGTCTTGATAACTGTTGCAACTAAATGACAGTGTATATGGGCTTACCATGCTGTTCTGTGTGTCCCTGTGTATTTGAAATTTTCCATAATAAAAACACATTTTATCACAAATATTGTATGAAATCAGTCAAACCTTATCTGCTTGTATTTTACTGAGGGAGATTTCTTACCAATAATAACTGAATACGTGGGCCTAGAGTGTGATACCTAAGTTTAGATGAACAAAATTTAGGGGGAAAGTAAAATGCCATAAAGAGGAAGCTCATCTTGGCTCGTGCTACCACCACTAAGCAGAAATCCTTTACCAATGAGAAAGTGTTAGGAAGAATTAGTAGATGGAGTTAGAGTGAAGAACAAATTTGTAATTGACAGGATGGAAAAGATGATGCCACCCCGGGACCAGGCAAAAGGACAGAATACCCGATGTTTTCTGGTGTGACTCGGAGCTGCAGAGGTGACTGGCAGGACCCACCAGTGATTATTATTCATTACAGCGCGAGATGGACTAAACTCCTGGTTATCTTTACTGCAAGTCAATGGCTGACACAGTAATGTCAGTGAAGAACTAGTGAGGCCTGGGCAGCAGCTGGATGGGCTAAAATACAGGGAAATGAAGCGGAAGTTCTTAATGTGCTGCTGTGGGGGACACAGGGGCTGGGGAGACAAAAAGGTCCTAAGAACTAGCTCAGAAAACAGGAAAGAAAATCACCCTGAGCTGAGGAGGTGTGAGGACCCTGGGTACCCACAACGCTGTCTTCGCTGACTCTTCCCCTGGAGGTTCTTTTCTGCGACTTGAGCAGCACTTGGCTCATGAGCTGGATAATGTTACTGTCAAAATTGAGATGGCCAGCCAAAAATTTTTGTTTGCCAAATGGAAAAGACCTAAAGTGGCATTAAAAGATACTTTGTATCATACCTACGATTTAATCTTGGCGATCTTACAATGCCAGTTATTTGTAATTGTTCCTGTTGTTTATTTGCTTTGAAATGGATATGAAGACCAGAACCAGCGCACATCATTTCATCACCAGCAGCCCCAGCAACAGCTCCTAGTGGGCCTCCTTCCCCACTGCAACGTGACCTGGCAGGGATGGGGCCACACAGGGCTACCAAGTTTTTTTTAATGTTTTAAGTCCTGTCTCTAAAAACCAATGTTTTTTTGGGGGGGGAGGGAAAACCAATGTTTTTTTTTTTTTGGTACCAGGGATAGAACTCCGGACCTTGCGCTTTTGAGGCAGGTGGTGGAACCACTGAGCTAAATCCTCAGCCCTGCAATGTTTTAATCTTGATAAAGACAGGGAGAAAGAATTCTGAGATAGCATATTCAAAGATATGGGGTCCTTTGCCTCTACATTTTAATAATTGACACATAATATAGTTATACAATGTATATAATTGACATGTGGCTACTTGTTAACAGATAACAGAGCTGTGACAATAAACTTCGATGATACTGATGACTTTACCATCTTTCTTGCAGATGGGATAATGCTGATTAGCACATATGAGCACAAGGGGCAACAGGCAAGACACTCGGTGCTCACCAGATCATGAGCTTTGCCTGCCGTGCTCTGTGACCAGTCCGCGGTGACATCAACAAGCTGAGAGCTCCGGCCTGATTCTCGTTTCACAGAACAAATGGAGGGCAGGAACAAGTAACGGACTTTCTCGACTGAGGTTCCTTATTTGCTAAGCGAGCAGTTCTGGATTTGAGGCCGATCTTCATGATTCCCAAACCAGTACTCTCCTTTCATTAATCTACTCTCTCATCTGAAAATGACGATGCATCACACACACACACACACTCATAGTATCTAAACTGCATTTGCATGTGCTAGAATCTACCAGATAGGAGGGAGCTGACCTGGCTGGAGAATGAGTGCTTCCTGACTGGATGATTTCCAGATAGAGGTGTGTCTCGTGTGTGTGTGTGTGTGTGTGTGTGTGTGTATGCATTGTGTGTATACTGCAGTGCAGTGTGTGGGGAGACACTGCTGAAAATACTCTAGGGCTTCTTCTCTGTTTCTGTTTCCTTTCCTTTCCCTTCAGTTCTTTAAGACATTGTGTAGTCCAAATTGGCCTTGAGCTTGAGGCAATCCCCCTGCTTCGACCTCCCAAGTGCTGGGATTACAGATGTGTACCATTATGTCTGGCGACTTCTCTGTTTCTTAGGCAGCAAAAATACTCAAAGTTTAGGCCATAAAACTTTGGGCAGTTAAAAGGTCTGAATTTTACTTTTCCAGAGATACCCTTCACAAAGGCTCACTTCTGTGAAATGAAGGGCATGTGGTGCTTTTTTTTTTTTTTAGTCTATTACAAAAAATAAAAAATGTTCTTATTCCACATAACATAAATGCACGCCAGAATTCCAAAGTCATGTACAGAATCAATAACTAAGGAATAACAAAAGTTATACATAAAAGATAAGCTATTTTAACCACCTATTTGGTTATATATATAGAATAGAATATATAACACTGAGCATCTCTTATCACAGGTACAAGGAATATTTTGCAGATTTTCTTCACTTCATCATCCTAACAAATAATTGAAGTTGCTTTTCTCCCTAACATGTAAATAAATATTCCTTTTGAGCTCTGTTAGGATTAAGAGTTAAAGAATATCTGTAAAATTAGAATTTGAATTCTTCCTAATATGTAAAAGTTTATTTTCTACTGAGCTAAAGTAGTTTCTTTTTTTTTTTTAATTCTTTCATTGGTACATTTTAGGTATACAATACGTTCACATTTATCATTGGGTGCTTGTACCTGTACATGATGTATCTTGGTTCTTATTTTTTCCATTACCTGTGTGCCCTTCACCCCCTCCACCCTTCCCTATTATATACATCATTTCCATTTTTTTTCTTTTCTCATAATTCTTCCTTTCCCTTCTTCCCTTTCCCCTTCCCCTCCCACCACCTCTACCCCTTTGGACCTTTTCCTATTTCAAATTATCAATTATTTGTTTTAATCATTTTAATCCTTATTTACACTTTCAGTTTCTCACGCTAGAGAAACTATTCGGTATTTACACATGTGTGTCCTATTTATTTCACTTAAAGAGTATGGCCTCAATATGCATCCATTTAGCTATAAATGTCTCTAGTTTCTTGTTCTTTATGGCTGCATAGTACTCCATTTTATTAAAAAACCCACATCTTCTTTATCCAGTTTCCAGTCGATGGGCACTTGGGCTGTTTCCAAGTTTTAGCTATTACAAACTGTGTGTGGCGCTTTGTTTTTAAAGTGTGGTCTGGGAGACAGAACTTGGGTCTTTGAGTCTACAAATCTGTTTTCCATTTATTAGTGTGATGTTGCCTGAGAAAATTATTTAATCTGAGTCTGCCTCCTCATCTTCAGTCTGAAAGAATAATGCCTGCCGTATCTTTGTCAGAAGGCATTTCTGAGGATCAAATGTATATGGAAGAACTTTGTATGCTAAAAGGACATACAAATGCAAGGTATCAATACTTTCAATATCATTCATTAGCCTCTCCCCATCTGTGGTTTTGTTTTCCACAGTTTCAGCTACCTATGGTCAACCAGGGTCTGAAAATATTACGGAAAATTCCAGAAAGAATAATTCATAAATGTTAAGTTGTGTAGCATTCTCAGTCAGGTGATGAAATCTCATGCCACCCTGCTCCATCCCGACTGGGACATGATGCCACTGAGAGCCACCTTGGTCATCAGATCAACTGCTGTGATGTTACGGTGCCTGTGCTCCAGCGATCTGTATTTTATCTAGCAATGACCTCAAAATGCAACAGTAGATGCTGGCAATTCAGATATACGAAAGAGAAGCTGCAAAGAGAAGTGTTTCTTCTAGGTGAAAATGCAAAAGTTCTTGACTTAGATAAGAAAAAATATGTAGGGTGAGGTTGCTAAGCTCTACAATGACACTGAGTCACTGGGGATGGAACCCAGGGTGCTCTATATGAGCTGCACCCTCAGCCCTTTTAGTGCTTTTTTTATTTATTTTTTTTAATCTTGAGACAGAGTCTCACTATGTTGCCCAGCCTGGGCTCAAGCTTAATCTTCCTACTTCAGCCTCTGAAGTAGCTGAGATTATAGGGTAGGAGTGCACCATCGTGCCTGGGAAGAACTCATTTCTATCCATAAAATTGTGAAGAAAAAAAAAAAAAAAAAAGAAATCAGTGCTAGTTTTGCTGTTGTACTTCAAAGTGCAAAAGTTATGGCCACAGTACATGATAAATGCTTAGTTAAGATGCATTAGATTAGAGGTAGGTGTTATCCAAAGTTTCAGACATCTACTGGGAGTCTGGAATGTATCTCCCCACCCTAGATAGGAGGGAACTACTGGGTAGGAAGATCATGTGGAATGAATACTCAGGCACCCTGGCTTGTACAAGAAATGTCAGGGGTGCCAGGGCGTCTGTAGCCCCCATCATCTACTCCTCTTCTTGTGCTGCAGGACCTCCAGCTCCTAAAATGCAAGAGCTGCCTGGCAGCTGACAGAGGAAGCATTTCTGGACCCCACCCAAAGATGGCTGGGCCCCAGCCAGATGCCAGCTCGGGTCAGGCGGCTTGCCCAGCAGGATTCCTCTTGCCTCACCTGTGAAAGGCTGGCTCCTCAGCTGTGGTGGACATACCTTCCTCTCCTCCACAAGCTGGACAGGAAACAGGCAACTAGACCAGGACAGAGCAGAAAGTGATCTCTGAGAAGCAACGGATAGTGGGAAAGAAAGAAAAGTTGTATGAGAAAATGCTTTCATCTGTACAAAGAGAGGCAGGAGGGAGAGCGAAGTGGGAAGTGGCGCATTGTATTCACACCTCCAGCTGGGATGAGCGCAGTGGAGAGAATGCTTACCATAAGCATTGGACTTTATCCGTGACACTTCGAGAAAATGTAACCGAATGGGTTTTGGCTTAGAATGCTTTCTGACAGCTTCAAGTCCATTAAAAATACAGTAAATGTCAGTGAGAATTTGCCACAGCATGTTTTGCCAAGAGGAAAATTTGTTAAATCAGGACACACACTTTAAAATTCTCCACAAAATCACTTCAGTGACTTATTTTCCATTTACTGCTATACAGAACACTATACACTTTGTGAGAAATCACTTATATAAACACACACACACACACACACACCCTGCACACACACTCTGTTCTACTTTTTAAAAAGATTTTTATACTACTGAGAAAGTTTTATCTGGAAAAGTCAATGTGTTTCCCTCTGTATTTTTTAAAATTATAAAGCACAGAACTACTGGTAGACTATCAAGCAAAAGCCATTGTCTTAGAGTGGCTACTTTTTATTTTGTTTTTTCTTATCAAATGGTGCTAGGATCAGGATATTATCCTAATTCTAATTTAAAGAGAAAAGTGGACAGGAGACAAGAAAAATGGGATTTACTGGCATGTACTATAACATGCTTGGCATCATATTTTGTTTCATTCTATCCTTAGAACAATTCTGTAGGGCATATTTCTATATGTATTTTACAGTGAGGTTCAGAAAAAGCAGCTAATTCTAAGACCACAGAGCCAACAAGGGACAGAAATGGAATTCTAATCCAGAAGACGCTTTCTCCACTAGCCAAAGGAGACAGAGGCCAACCTCCCCCCAAACAAAAACAAAAACAAAAACTACCTTTAAAAATATCTATTTATCTGAGCCAAGTATGGTGGCACATGCCTGCAATCCCAACTACTTGGGAGGCTGAGGCAGGAGGATGGAAATTTTTAGGTCAGCCTGGGTAATTTAGTGAGATCATGTCTCAAAACAAAACAAGGGCTGGGATGTTGCTCAGGGCAAGGCCTTGGGTTTAATCCCTAAAACCAAACAATAACAAGAGGGGAGAATGAGTGGAAAAGCAGATGAATCAAGATTAGCCTTGGGTTGATAACTGTTGGGTGTTGGGTTTAATTATGCCTGTTTTGGTAGGTTTGGAAATTTCTGAAATCAAAAGTCAAATGAAAGAGCTGCTTAATATATATCAGCAATACAGAAAGTAATACATGTGATCTTTTGTTATTTATTGAAATGATAAGTTCTATAAAAAGAAATAGAGAACGAACTGTTGACTCCTAGAGATGTTTATCAATACATACCTGGGCAGGATTGGACATGTCATACAATTAACTTTTGCTTCTCAGAATGGAAAACATCTTATCACTAGCATGTATCTTGGACAATGGGCTGATGCCAAGATTCTACTTACCCCTCCTATCATTTCTGCTAACTCAAATGCAGATTTATATTGAGGGATATCAGATACTCTACTCATGTTATTTTTACTCTATTTGTAAGTTTTTCTAACATTATCAAGAACTACAGGACAGTAAATCTTGTAGATGGAGGAAAGAATATTTTACCACAAAAACAGTATTGCTTTGCTTAACTTAAAAGGTTAACTTTAATTAAGATAGTGATAAAAGCTTTTATAGACAGAGTGACAAATAAGTAAAGTTACCTCCATTGCTGTGAGCCATTTTCAGGGCTTCCAAAGAAGTTGTTGGAGTTATTTCTAGCTGGCAGATCATTACTTTGGCTCTGCTAATGACACTGCCTGCCTCTCTCAGGTCTTCAGTATTCAAAAGTAAATTTGCTCCAGCCACAATGACGATGATATTCTGGCCTATAAAGAAATTCTACATCTTTATATTAAAACCAAGCAAAGCCGAGCAATGATATTCCCCAATGTTATAATCATCCTTGTAAAGTCATTACCTTAAATATGAAGTATTAATTTTTAACATTTCTAGGACATTCAGGTTAAATTTTGTGTTCCAAATACATCTTTTATAGTATCTCTAAGATTCATGTTATTCTGATGACTTTGTTTCTTCCCTTAGGAGACAATCTCTCTATGATGCCCAGGCTGGCCTTAAACTACTAGGCTCAAGTGAGCCTCCTGTCTCAGCTTCCCAAGCAGCTGGGATTACAGGCATGTGCCACCATGCCTGGCCTATATATGCCTGGCCTATATGCTGTATAGTGTGCAAGTAGTTCATGTATGTACCCTATGGTACTGTAGAAGTGATTCTGTTGATCTAAACACATTTTATAATGTCTAACAGGTGGAAAATTCTACCAGATGGAGAGAGAGAGAGAGAGAGAGAATGAGGCTGTAGTGTACCAGATTAGGAAGAAGCGACAAGACTAAGCAATCTCATTCTCATCACTGGAGCCCATTCTCTAATCCCATCTACACAGTGCAGCTGATCTGCAGGCAATCTGTTAGGAGCTGTACCATCTGATACAGTAGTAACCACAGCACGTGTGCCTACTGAGCGTTTGAAATGTGGTTATCCTGCACTGAGATGTGGTTCAAGTAGAAAATACACGGTGGGGGCCGGGGATTTAGCTCAGTGGTTCTGCTGCCTGCCTCACAAGTGCAAGGACCCGAGTTCAATCCCCGGTACCAAAAAAAAAAACAACAAAAAAACCACAGTGGATTTAAAATACAGTACAGCAAAAAGGAAACAAAACAGCTCATTAAAATTTAAAAACATTTAATTTAAAAATAGATGTTTGATTACATGTCGAATAATATTTTGGATATATTAGGCTCAATATACTGTCAAAATTAAGTTTACCTGTTTCTTGTGGCTACTGGGCAATTTAAAATCCTACATGTGTCTTGCATTTTATTTCTGTTGGACAGCACTGATCAGGAGGAATGAGTTGCAGCAGGCAGTTTTTTTTTTTTGTGCTCCAGGCTACTTGTGCTGATCTTGTATAGACACGACCTAAAATTACGTCTCAACATAGAACAAATTCTAGCCTATCATTTTACCACAGATGTATCTGTTGGCCATGAGGAAGACTTAATAAAGTGGGAACAGTTCAGCATGAGCCCAACCTCAATCCTGGAAAAATTCATAGTGCCCACTTGCTGAAAGATAGCATCTCCCCTCCTTTTACTCCTGCAGTGACCTCATTCTCAGTTGGAGTCAAGTGAAGCCTGTGATTTCAAAATCAGCATTTCTCAACTGGCCCTGGCTACAGAGCCACAAGCTCAAGACTACAGCTGACTGGACTACAGCTGGCAGTTGTGTGGATAGCTCATTCATGCCTCAAATTTCACAGTCAAAATGAAACTCATTACTTTATCTTACATACTATTCATACTTTCATTAAAAGAGCCCGACTGTCCCATTTCTGTATTTGTCTTAGCTTTTCTACAATCTATACTCTTGAGGACACTATAATACTAAAGTCAGGCAAAGCCTGCTATAATAGGTACATAACATATAATGTTAAATTATGTCTTTGCATGGAAAATGCAGGTTTTGTTTCACAGGTAAGAAAGAAAGAAAACAATGCCATATCCCTAGAATAAGAGGTCTAAGACATGAATTAAGGTGCTCTTGGTAGCAATAGTTTAATTTACAGTGTAGCATAAAGTAATGAACATAGACTTTATGTTGCCAGCAAGAAAACTTTTATCTACTTTTCTTAGACAATTTTTTATTATTCTAACTTTAGGATCATTAAAGTGGAGTTAAAATACCATGTTTATTATGTAAAATGATCTCGCAAAACTGTATTATAGTAATCCTCTGTATCTATGGTTTTGTTTCCTGAAGTTTCAATTACCTGTGGTCAAACTGTGGTCTGAAAAAATTAAATGGAAAGTTCCAGAAATAAACAGTTCATAGATTTTAAATTGCTCGCCATTCTGAGTAGCATGGTGAAGTCACATGCCATCTCACTCCGTCCCATCTGGGATATGCACTATCCTTTGTCCACTGCATCCATCACCTGCACACACACACACTGATCAGGCACCCTGATGATCAGACTGACCACTGAGATATTGCATTGCTTGTTTGCAAGCGAAGCTGACATAGCAGCCTAGTGCTACACCACCCATCTCTCTTCGAATTATCACACAGGCATTGTGTCATCTTGCATCATCACAAGAAGGGTGAGTACAGTGCAATAAGATTCTGAGATAAAGACACAGAAAATACATTCATATAACTTTTGCTACAGTATACTGCTATAATCATTCTACTTTGTTATTGTTCTTAATCTCTGTTCTTAATTTATAAATTAAACTTTATTATAGGCACATATGTATAGGAAAAATCATTAGAAGCAAATAATAATATCAATATAGCATTATATTCATTATAAAAATATTTACATTGTTAGTATATTATATAGCAATAGTGGTATATTAATATATATTCGTATTATATACAGATTTATTTCTCAGGACTATTTATAGTCCTGAATCCTGAAACATATTCCTCCATGAATGAGGGAGGATCATCATATAAATAAAAGATATATTGTGACAAATCCCAATTTAACCCAGTGTAAGCTGACTGCTTTCGATGCACTAGGTTTGTCATAGATGTCGCATGAAATCCTTGGTCTTTCTGCATATTAATCTGATTTTTAAAAATCTTAGGTAGGTGTTCTTACATTTAAAACAGTTGGCAGAAATTATGAAACTCTAACTTAAAAGCAGTTACCGTTTTTAAAAATAAATGTTTCAACTAAGGTACAGGTTTGTGGCAGACTTAGTTGTAAAAACAGACTTTCAAGATCTGATTGCTGTTTAAAGAGCAAACAAATTGAACACTAACGATAAGCTAGAAATATGTAATTAGTTGCTGCCATTTGCTCATTAAATATTCTATAAATACGATTCATCAAATTTTCTTTTGCATCTATTTACATTTACTTAAGTAGTGTAATGGAAATGATAAGATGAATACTTGACTGATTTTGGAGACAAGTATCAATTTTGAGTTCACATGAAGGGTAAAGGGTCATTACAGGGTATAAATATTATTTGGATATAACTATAATGCTTCATGTATGAGGTATAATCAAAGACTATGGTGAATATTTAAATTAAAAAATTTATTACAGTAAGATACATCATCACCAATCCTCCTCAAAGTAATCCCCCTTGCTTTGAACACACTTATCCCACTGTTCTTGCCACTTTCTGAGGCAATTCTAGAAGTCCTCTTTTGTGCATATCTTTTGTTGTGCTGTCATGGCCGCAGTAAAGCCCTGAATCAATTCAAAACATTCACCTTTCATGGTCATTTTGACTTTGGGGAAGAGCTAGAAGTCACATAGTTCCAGATCCAGTGAAAAAAATGAATGAGGAGGGCCAGGGATTTAGCTCAGTGGTTCTGCCACCTGCTTCGCAAGTGCAAGGTCCTGAGTCTGATCCCCGGTACAAAAAAAAAAAAAAAAAAAGAATGAGGCCATACTAATGGTTTTGACTGAAATTGCCAAGAATGTTTAATCAATGAAGGGTGATAAAAAAAATACGGTGAACATTTAAGTTAAAAAATGTATTACAGCCAGGTGTGGTGGCACACGCCTGCAATCCTAGCACTCTGGAGGCTGAGGCAAGAGGACTGCCATGAGTTTGAGGCCAGTGTAGACTACATAGTGAGTTCAAGGCCAGCCTTAGCTACATAGCAAGACCCTGCCTCCCCCAAAAGTACTTCAGTAAAAGACACATTTGCCACTCATCCTCTCTCAAAATACCCTCCCTCCTTTAAACATACTCATTTCATCATTCTTGGCAATGTGTCTTTTGGTGTAATAAGTTCTTTTTGGTCCCAGGGATTGAACTCGGAACCTTCTGCTTTCGAGGCAGGTGGCAGAACCACTGATCTAAATCCCCAGGCCCAAGTTTTAAAAAATATTTAAACATACACTGTATTTTTTGATCACCCCTTGTATTTTGGATCGATACTTTTCTATTTAAATGATCATCATGGGAAGTATAAATAAAGGGAAACACATATCTGGACTGGAAAGGCCATTGGATAGGCCTTGGAGTGGTGGATATAGCGAGAGGTCTATAGGATAGGGTCAAAATCCCAACGCAGCTGTGGAAATGATCTGTTTCAGGAAATGATGCTTCAATGTGTGAATACGTACCTTCATTATTGACAATTATAGAAGCAGCTCCAGTAGCAGCATCTTTAGTCTGATATGTAAATTCTATAAGAAAAAAGAAAATTACATTCTCGTACATACAGCCTGGCATGGATAATTTATTTTAACAATTTCAATGTGACATCAATCCTTGGAAAAAGTTTTTAATCTTTAACCATCTGGAATGAGTTAAAAAATAAGTAATTAGTGCTAATTTATACCCATCACCTATACGATGAGGAAAATAAGCATCTTTATATTTAGTGGTACCTTTTCTCTGTAACAGTAACAACCTATCAAATCACCCTAATTCCAATTCTCTGAAATTACTCATAGTTGTATACATATGCATTTTCTTTTTTTTTGGTACTGGGGATCGAACTTGGGACCTTGTGGTCGCGAGGCAGGTGGTGGAAGCACTGAGCTAAATTCCCAGCCCTACGTATGCATTTTCTAGACCAATACATTTCTTTTGAGACATCTGAGATAAAAAACAAAAGGTGGAACACATGAAATTAACTTGTTTGATTTTCTTTATTTTTTATTTTTTGGTACCCGGGATCAAACTCGGGTCCATGTGCCTGCGAGGCAGGTGGCAGAACTACTGAGCTAAATCCTTGGCCCAATTTTCTTTATTCTTATAAGCTTGGCACTTCGTTGAGAATCATGACCTGCATGTAAACAGGATTCTGATGAGACAGCCCTTGGCAGTAGCAGAGAGCTCTGGAGTCAGAAGGCCTGCATTCTAGTCCTGGCTCTGACTCTAGCTGTGTGCTCTTGGAAAAATCATACAACCCCTCTGGACCTTCAGTTTTCTCTTCTGTGACAATGTTGTTAGTCTCAATTATTTCTAGGATTGTTTCTAGCTATAACATTCAACGACTTTTCTTAAAATACCTTTTGTGAAACGCAGCACCTGTCTTCCCTGGACACATATTCATGAGATGAAGGTTTGTAACCTCCTATCCTTTTATTTCCATCCGGAGGGATGTATATAAAAGAATTCACCAGGGGACACTTAAGCAAGATCAAACAAAGCTGTGCATAAAAACTTTCTGGCCACCAGGGGAGGATCTAATAATTCTATTCTATGCTCAATTTTTTTATAACAAGATTACAGAAAAAAGTTATAAACACTAACTTTTAAAAAGATAGATTTTACCTGTAGAAATATCATTCTGTTTTAAGTTTTCTATATAATCATCGCCAAAAGAATCTTTGCCAACCTGTACCAAAGAAATGATGAACATTAGATCTTTTACATTTAGTAAAATGCTACAATGTAGTTTTTAGAATACTTAGCATTTTAAAAGGGCATATCTGCACAGTACTTTATAAACATTAATTAATCTTCTTAATGTAAGATGCTAGACTTGATTTCAGCCCAAAGAATTGTTACATACTGCATTAAAATTTCTCTTATATCCTACTTAAAATGCGAAGCATTTAATGTTGGTTACGAGTTCTATAGCTTTATTCTCATTTTGATCTGTTCATTTGACAATTACACTGAGATGGAGTTGTTCATCATCATCAATCTTCAATATTTATGAAGGATCTCAGTGTTCATACTATAAATGAAGACATTTTTATAATGACTTGCTCCATGCTCTAGAAGTTTCTTCCTTCCTGTGGCACCAGGATTGAACTCAGGGCCTTGAACATGCTAGGCAACTGCTCTCTCTACCTCTGACCCATACCCCCCACCCCCCTTCAGGCCTAGACTCTTTTTATCTTCTTCTCTGTCTTTGATATGAGGGACAAACAGCAGGGAAGTTTTAAAGCCTTAGTTAACTTGGATAACTTGACATAGTGGGATTCTACTGTTTTTGCATTCTAGCGTCCATTCTGTGAATTGGACTTTGGATTTTCCTTTGCACAGACCTGATTAAAAAGCCACCCCGTCACAGTGATAAGTTCGTGAAAGGGCGCATGACCTAAATCAGTCCAGTAAGAATCAATCCTGGAAATCTTATTGAGTCTACTGGGGGAGAGAACTTGTTTCCCCAGTAAGATTTCTAGCTATAAGATAATGTAAGCTGGGAGTTCCTGAGGAGTGTTATCTGGAGATGGCCTGAATGAAAAGACTCCTAACAGCCTGATGGACACCTAAACTGCCTCAAGATGGCTCTGTTACTGGGTTTTTCAGTTACATGAGCCAACATACTTCCCCTCAACCCCATGCTAACTTGAATTCGGAATCTATTGTATTTACCCAAAAAGTGATAACTAGCTTCAAGATACAGCTAGCTTGCTCTGACTCGCAACCATAATTCAAGTAGTCGTGCTTTTGTCTGGATATAGAGACCAAGTTCCTGCTTTGCGGCCCACTTTGATCACTGGATCTCCTGACTGTGAATCCTAATCATCTTTTTACTTCCCTAGCTCTTTTAGATCAAGGACTCTTCTCTGCCTGGCCAGCCATCCCCTACAGGCCATGGCTCTGGGTCTATGGCTCAGCTCCAAAAGGCTATTACTTTTATTTTTATTTTTCCACCATTAAGTTTATTGGTACATTTTAGGTATAAAATACTGTTACATACATCATTGGGATCTTGTACCATTACATGAGTATCTTGGTTCTTATT